GTGGGCGTGGCCGGAGGGGTACCGCTGTTGCGCAGGATGTGCACTTCGGCCGGGGTGCCGTCGCCGCCGGGCCCCGTGACGCGGATCTGGACGAAGGCGTGGGTGAAGTCCTCGGGGACGGGGATGTCGATGCGGCTCTTGCTGGCCAGGTAGAGCGTGGGGGCCGAGTGYGAGTCCTGCCTGTAGAGCATCTGTGGGACAGGGAACACTTGGTTCATTCCTGGGATTTCCTGGGATCACCCCAAGGGATCAGCCCCGCCCTACCTTGTACCCCGTCACCGCCGACTCGTCCGCCTTCGCCACCACCGGGTCCCACTTGATGCTGACTGTGGAGCCTGAGAAGGTCCAGGAGATGTTCCCGGGTGGCCTTTTCGGGGCTGAGGGAGCAGAACAGGATGGGGATTTGGTCAGTTGGGGATCGAGGACAAGGCTGGGCTGGTCCCAAGCATCCCCCATACCTCGGCAGAGCCATCACCTCCACGGCCAGCTTCACATCAACCATGGCCACCCAGATCCAAGCAGGGCAATTTTGGGGAAAGGGAATGTGGGAAGGGCGGGCTCGGGGCTCACTCACGGGGTCGGGTGGTGGTGACGTTGGTGGAGGGGCTGGGCGGGCCCGTCCCTGCACGGTTGTAGGCTCGCACCGACACGTGGTAGTTGGTGTTGGGGTTCAGGCCGGTGACGTGGGCYGATGTCACCAGCCCCGCTGTCCTCACCCTGTCCGCCGCCTCCTCCTTGTCCCCGTCCTTCCAGTACCGGATCTGGGCGGAAAAGGGCACCGTGGGTTTAGGAAGGGGAGATCTGCAAATCCCAAATTGCCCCATCCTGAAGCGCCTTTGGGGTTTCTTTCCATGATTTTTGCTTTATGTGAGCATGGGAATGAGGCCACAGTCCTCCGGGAAAGGCAGGCAGGAAAAATGGGATGTTTCCCCCAAAATCCATCCTGAGAGAGCAGCCCCAGCCTCATTAGAGCCACGCACTGTTAATTACCCCTCCTCTGGGATCAAAACGTTGTTCCCTTTCTACCTCACATAACCCAGACAAGTTTTCCTCGGAAGCTCCTACCTCGTAGCCCAAAAGCACTCCGGTCACTTCTCCCGGCTCCACGGGCTCCCAGGACACGTCCATCTCCGAGGACAGCACCGACTTGGCCATCACCCTGTACGGAGCCACTTTGGGCTCTGAAAGACAGGAACCAAACCCTTTCCGTGACTCAGTGCCCCTTTGGTCAGAAACAAAAGGGTTTTCCTGCAGCACCACCGCACAGGCGGACAGCTGGTGTGGCACGGAGCGAGGGGAAGGGATTTGGGGAATTAGGAGGACAGGCAGGGCCACTCGGGATCCGTGTCTGCCTGGGGGATCCGCAGGAGCCGGGGCTGTGCTCGGGGAATCATCGCTCTGGGGTTTGGGGAGGAGGAGATGRATGTGCTGGAATGGCTGCACTGGGGGCTGGAGGAATGTCCGAGCGTCTGGATGGACAAGGATCAGCAGGGAATGGCTGTGGGTTGGACAAAACTGGGAATTTTGAATCTCRTGGGATGGTTTGGGTTGGGAAGGGACCTTAAGGCTCATCCCAGTCCCACCCCTGCCATGGCAGGGACACCTCCCACTGTCACAGGGTGCTCCAGCCCCAATGTCCAGCCTGGCCTTGGACACTCCAGGGATCCAGGGACAGCCACAGCTGCTCTGGGAATTCCATCCCAGCCCCTCCCCATTCTCCCAGCTGGGAATTCCTTCCCAAAATCCCATCCATCCCTGCCCTCTGGCAGCGTGACCCCATTCTCTGTGTCCTGTCCCTCCATCCCTTGTCCCCAGTCCCTTTCCAGCTCTCCTGGAGCCCCTTTAGCCACCGGGAGGGACTCTCCTCTCTCCCTGGAGCTTTCCCTTCTCCACACCGACATTCCCAGCTCTCCCGCTCCTCTTTACCTTCCTCAGCCGAGTACACCACGGCCGTGAGGCTCTCGGGGCCCTCCCCTTTCCTGTTGTAGGCCCTGATCTTCACCTCGAAGGGCGTGTAGGGCGCGATGCTCTCGTTGCGGTACACGAAGTGCAGCGACTCGGCGTGCGGCACCCGCGCCCGCAGCCATTCCTGGCTGCCCTTCCTCCGGAAGGACACGATGTACCCRAAACCGTCCCCGTTCTGGTAATCCCGCTGTGTCGGCTGGGGACAGAGAGGGAGCCTTGGTCCATCCAAATCATCCAAACTGGGATGGTGGCACCGATTTCCCAGAGGAAATGGGTGCTTGGTCCACCCAAACCAGCTTTGGCTCATCCCAACTGGAATTGCAGCACCAATTTCCCAGAGGAAATGGGTTCTTGGTCCAGCCAAACCAGCTTTGGCTCATCACAACTGGGATTGCAGCACTGATTTCCCGAAGGAAATGGGTGCTTAGTCCACCCAAACCAGCTTTGGCTCATTCTAACTGGGATGGCAGTGCCAATTTCCCAAAGGAAATGGATTCTTGGTCCATCCACACCAGCCCTTCACTCATCCCCATGTCCAAACTGGGATTGCAGCCCTGATTTCCTGAAGGAAATGTGTGCTTGGTCCGTCCAAACCACGACACAGCTCAACCCCATGTCTGAATTGGGATGGTGGCACTGATTTCCCGAAGGAAATGGGTTTTTGGTCTACCCAAACCAGCTTTTTTTTTTTCATCTCAACTGGGATTGCAGCGCTGATTTCCCAAAGGAAATCTGTGCCTGGTTTATCCAAACCAGCCTGTGACTCAACCCCATGTCCAAACTGGGATTGCAGCCCTGATTTCCTGAAGGAAATGGGTTCATGGTCCATCCAAACCAGCCTTTGGCTCATCTCCATCCAAACCAACCTTTGGCTCATCCCAACTGGGATTGCAGCCCTGATTTCCCTAAGGAAACCTGTGCCTCGTCCACCCAAACCAGCCCATGGCTCAACCTCGTGTCYGGATTGGGACAGCGGTGCTGATTTCCCCCCAAAATGCCGCACAGTTCCCTCATGACCCTTCCCCCATTCCCAACTCACCGTCCAGGTGACGATGAGCTCGTGGGGAGCCCCTCCGCCACCGCCGAGCCCGGACGGTGCCACCGTGGGTGCTGTGAGGTCCCGGACAAAAGCAGAGAGCAGAGGTTGGGTTAAGGAGTGTGGCAGTGATGGAGGCGGGCACAGACACGGGTGACACTGGTGTCACCAGATGGACAGCCCCAAAAAGGGGCTGGTCTCTGCTTTCAGCCCTGAAAATCCCATCTGGAATTCTGACCAGGTGATCTGGGGACAGGGGACAAGGATTTGGTGTCTGAGGGGACAAGAATGGAGCTCCAAAGCGGGAACATGGGCGGAGTTTTTTTAGGAAGGAGCTGGTTTGGATTTTGTGGGTTGGGAGCAGTTTTCCTGCTGCTCCTCCATCCCTTCCATCCACTCAGCTGGACACGGAATGAACACAGTGGTGGGAAGTGAAGCCCTAAGACCRCACTTGGACATGAAAATGGGCAAAAAACCAGAAAACCTTGTGCCCAGGTGATGATCAGTCCCTTGGGACCATCCAGCCTCCGCATCCCACCAGACAGGGACAGGACCTGGAGCTGTCCCCACACCCACCTGCCTCCTTGGTGCGGATCTTGCTGGAGGGCAGGCTGGGCTCCCCGACCCCCAGGATGTTGCTGGCCAGGACTCGGAACTCGTAGTCCATCCACGGGATCAGGTTCACCACCTGCGCYGTCTCCGCGTTGCCCTCGATGTTCACGGGATCTGTAAAATCCAACAAAACGGGTGGGGATAGAGCAGAGTGAGGGGCAGCGCAGACAAATTGGGGGTGGCCAGTGGCCGGTGACCTCGGCGTGTCACCGGTGCCACCATGGGGACACTCACTGGTGCGCATCTGCTTCCACTGGCTGGACAGGAGGGTCCGTGCCTCGATCAGGTAGCGGGCGATGGGGCTGTGGTTGTCGAAGCCKCGGCTCCAGCTCAGCTGGACGCTGGTGTCGCCGATGTCCCTCACCACCACCCCCCCGGGCGGGCCTGGAGGTCCTGGAGGGATGGGAAATGTGTCACTGAGAGGGAAGATCCRGGGGTTTATGGSTCCGTGYGTTGTGAGAGTCCTAAATTCACATYGGGCCTTTMTTTTCTGGGAGCTGGGGAGCCTCACCTCCAGCTGGAGCCCCTGGAAAAGCTCCTAAGCCTGGCAGGTCTCATAGAAAATGGTTGGAAAATATCTCCGAAATGATCAAGCCCAAGTTTTGAGTGAAAATAAAACCTGCTAAATTTTTTTCACTGAGATATTGGATGGTGAGAGTTGCGAGGGAGGAGTGACCAATCCTTGTGTGTCCCGTGGTATTCCTTTGGGTTTTCAGGAGCAGGGAATTGCCCCAGGGAATGTTCCCGCAGGAATTACCTCTGACGGTCAGCGTGGCGGACTCGGACGCGCTGTCCACCACGGTCTGGGCCGTGCAGGTGTAACGCCCCGAGTGCCGCAGCTGCGCGTTGGAGATGCTGAGGTCRCCGATGGTCTCCTTCTGCAGGGGACAGAGAACACGGCGGGGACGGCATCAGAGAGTGTCCGGTCACTGTCCAGTGTCCAGCGGGGTTTGGGGTGGCATGAGGATGGACAAGTGGGAGATGGGGAAAGGTCCCCCCATGGTGGGTGGAGCCAATCCCAGATGGCTC